TGTAGTCATCGAAACCGTCGAAAAACCTAAAAGTCCGGCGACCCTTCGCGGCATTTTTCACGACGATCGACGCATTTTTACAATGGGTGGGGGAATGCGTTTTGGTCGCAGTGGCAAGACGGTTTTGATGGTGTCAACGATGACGAACACGGACCGACGATGGTCGACCGACGATCGAAAATGTAAAATTTGGGGGTATTTTTGTTATTTTAATTATAATATTAATTATTTAAAATAAATATTTTTTTAAAATTTTTCATGCTTAATATGTTTCAAATAACGGCTAAATTTAACAGTCGTTACGATCCATGCGCCTAAAAGTATAACGTTAGAAATGTTAAGTAATTATTTTTAGTGAAAATTTCTTCAAACATCAAATTGTATTTTGAGGTATAGTTTATGCACTTATTTTTGTATTAAGCTAATATTTACATATGATGAATATAAATATAAATAGGGTAAACTACGCACTTAATATTTAAACTATCAGTTTTGGTCCATTTTAGTACTTAAGCTTTTACTCTTTTAAAATCATACCTAAAGTTTTGCTTTTGTTTCATTTTAGCATCCCACTGTTAAAAACTTAACACATTTTATACTTAAACTATCAGTTTTTGGTCTGTTTTAGAATCAAAACTTTCAATTTTTTTAAAATTTAACGTTAAATTTTGAACATGGTACTAAAATAAAACAAAAATTAAACTTTATGTATGATTTTGAAAAGATTAAAAGTTTAAGTATTAAAAATGATCAAAACTGATAGTTTAGGTACGAAACATGTAATTTACCCATATCATTATATGTGTACATGTATATAGTTTTAGGGGATTTTGTGGGGGGTAAATGGGATGTTTTCCAAATCAGGGTGTCCTTAGCGGCGGCGGCGGTGGTGGTTGCGAGATGGAGGTAGATCCTTGGTGGTTCAGTAGGTGAGAGACATGACCACGAGAACATGGTTTTCAATGGCCCATCATCACTTCAAATAATCAACTTAAGATGTTTTTAATAAATTTTATATATTGAACTCATAAAGAGTAGTTTTATTGAATAAGAAGAGTATTATTTTAAAAAAATAAATAATCATATCTATAAAATATATGCAGGTTATAAATAATTAAAAAAATATTTTAAATATATCTTTATGACCACCCATACTAATTTAAATGAAAAAAGTCATATATTCTTATAATTATGTATAATAATTACATACTTATAAATTAATGAAAAAAACATTTATATACTTATAATAATAAACTTAATATACTTACAAGACTTATATCATAAATAAATATCTAAATTATATTCTATTTTTCATTTAAATAATTCAATTATTTTTAAATTAAAATAAATATATATTTTAGTCAAAATATATACCTAAAGTATTTTATGTCAAATTTGGTACTAAACTATTCAATTTTTTTTCATCTAAATTCTAAAAGAGTTGATATGTGACATTAATTAAAGAATATTTTAATTACTTGGATGAAATAAATTGAATACTTTATGTCCCTATTTTGACCAAAAATATAAATTTAAATACTTATTTCGACTAAAAAATACTTTAGATACTTAAATGAGAAAGGTGATAAATTATATGTAATTATTTGTTATATAAGACTACTTATAAAAGAAATTTGTTTAATTTGTAGTAAGTACAGAACAATATATATTTAAAGATAAAATTTTAATTATTTACCTCACATTTATAGTATTCGAACTCAAATTCTCAAAAAAATAACAATAATTATTTTATTACTTGTAGTGTAAGGGGAAAAAACTTAAATTAATGGGAAAAAGACATAATTAGCTGGAAAAAGAAGGTGTCAAAGAATAGGAGATTGGAGGGGAACTGAGGTGGCAAAGTCTGTGTTTGGGAACTTGAACCATGTCTCGACTCGGCGCAGTTGCGGTATCACCACCTTCATATACATCAAATCTCTACCACTCCATGGCAGATAAGCTAAGCTTTCACTGTCACACGCCATTTCCCAAATGAAGGTTAGAAGAACTAAGATCAGAATTACATAAACAGTCTGGGTTCTCTCCATTCTCCTTTTGGTTAAGCTCATATGTTGTCTTGTTTTCTTGTTTGCAGATATTCAGCTGGGTCCAAAACAAGGTCACCGGCAAGAAACCCACCACCAACATCGTACCAGACAATCGTAAGTACATTTTGATTCCATGTTTGGTCCCCATACATGTTTTTGTCTCTGACATGTTTGATCTTCGTTGCTGATCATCGTCGTCGTCGTCATCTTACAGACACCACCCCGCAACAGCCTTGCAAAGAAGAGTTCAGCGACTGGCCTCATGGACTGCTAGCAATCGGAACATTCGGCAACAAGATCAAACAAGAACCGGAGAAACCAAATACACAACAAGATATTCATTTTAATCATCTACACGGTCTTACACCAGAAGAAGTAGGGAAGCTTCAGAAAGAGTTCTTGATATTTCAAGAACACGTCGAACCATCACCGTCATCGGCTGATCCTGAAGCTCCTGCTGAAGAAAGGGTTTGCAATACTGGATTCTCCGATGACTACCGCTGCACCAGTTTAGTCCACAGTAGAGGGAAAGATGTAAGCTTGGATAACTCCAAAGCTGCAATAGGGAAGAAATCATTGCCGTTTCTTTTAAAGAAGATGTTCGTTTGTAGAAATGGATTCTCACCGGCTCCCATTAGTTTAAGGGATCCAGCCATGGAGTCAAGAATGGAGAAGGTACTTAAAAAAAACACATCAATCACAGCAGTAAATCACATTGTTAATCAAGTATAATTAAACGTTTTGAGCTGTTTCCAGATGTTGAAAACTATGCTTCACAAGAAGATATATCCACAAAATCATGGCACCAAATTGACTACCAAGAAATCCCTAGAGAGCAGTGCTAATTTTGCCAGGACTGTCAATGGAGATGACAAGACAGAAAAGGCAGACGATGGAAGTAAATGGGTGAAAACAGATTCTGAATGTAAGTTGATATAAACAAACATATACGCTTGAAGAACTCAAATCTTAATTTGAAATCAATGAATGTTTAACTTGATTCTTTCTGTTCTTAATTGCAGATATTGTTTTGGAAATATAATCTGCTTTGTTTCATGAAGATGACAGCCATAGCTTTGGGAAATACATGTTTGCACTGATCTTCTCTCAGTGTTGCTTCTTCGTTTTGAATCCTCCCTATTAAATGTTTTGAGTTTTGGTGTTTTTGAGGATGATAATTGAGAGTTTTTTAGACTAGAACTTGTTCATCATCTTTTCTCTCAAGAGCTGTAAATCATCAGTTAATGCTGATATCGTGTTTCATCATTAAATAATATCTATCAATTTTACTCGATTATACAATACACCACTAATATTATCAAGAGAGTTTCAACACTTTTAACATAAATATTTGAAGTATCATTCATTAAACAATCAATTATGCATAAATCGAACGATCTGGTAAAAGAATTATTGTTATTCTTGAGATTCAGATCGGAACACAAAAAATATCAAGGTGGAAGCGTTAGAGTAAGTTTTGTTTTATCTAATGAAGTTTTAAAAGTAACAAATTAATCACAAATTATTACACAACAAACAGCAATCAAAAATATGAAAAGCTTGTTAGCACCAAAGATCCACAAGCCTTCAATCAGGAAGGGAGAGGAAAGAAACGATAGTCTCGTAATAGGGAAATCTAGCGACGAGCTCGGACCGTTAACCGAGCTGGAAAGTCTCAAAACTGAAAGGCGGGTGCACAGGTGCATCTCACAAGGGAGTAGTGAGCCTCAGGATCTCTCGGTTCAGCTCTGGTAACTCCCCCATCACCGGAAATGTGCCTTTGATGGAACCAAACATATGGAGGTACAGTATATTGCACCCTCTGATCATCTACTATATCAGGTCCAACACATGTTAGTTTCACCTTCCCATCTTTCTCGTCCAGCTCTACGATCTGTATCGAATATTCAAACATGTTCTCATTACACATTCAGGAACAAAAGACCAAGAAATTTCACGTGACCGGCAATTACCGTAGGAGGTTCTCCCTTATAAAAATGCCAGGTCTCGGCACATGGTGTCCTATGAAGACGAGACACGGTTCTGGATTGTAGCATGAAGTAGATACATGTGCTTACTTCACGATCGACTTTGTCTGCAATGAAACTACTGTCATATGTTTGATAAATTCATTTAAGAAGATGAAGCATAAACAAAATGAATAAGGTTGTTACATTGAGGATGAAGATGAGATTTGGAGAGGAAGATGGAGGTGTCCCTGAAAGGTTCAGAAAACAAACCGCCCTCAGGGTTTGGGACCAGCTTCAACTTGGCTGCAATCTCTGATGCAGATGCCATGTTTGGTTTTCCTTGCTCTTGGATACTGGATTTATCTGGTTGATTTAACTGACAAAGAAAGGACTATGTTTCAGAGTTCAGACAAGCAAAAAACCTTTTGGCTTCATTCTCGTGTTTGAATTCAACTGCTTCCTGTGGTTATGTTGTCACCCATGACGTTCACACGAATAAGATAAAATTCAGGGTAAATGAAAGTCAAGCATCCCCTAACCCTAAAAGTGGAATCCACAAAGGTGTACGTGTAATGCTTTGAAAGGATAAAGGACATTCATTTTTGCATTAAAAAAAGTTTAACTACAGCTAAAACTCTATAAATTAATAATGTCAAGATCGAATAAATTTATTAATTTAGAGAGTTATTAATTTATCGATAAATTAATAATTATTAATTTAAAGAGTTTTTAAGTAATTATACTGTACATACCAAACAAAAAGGCAAATTAGTTTATGCCTCTTAGAATTACGTTACAGCGAACCTTAGGACTCAACGTAAATTAGTAACTACTGTGTTCATATGCATTGGAAATCAATAATGACTTTTGAAGTACAGTAAATGTAAACAAGAGGAGCAAATGTGTTCAATGTATTCTTAAGCAAGTTTGGCATATATAAATTACATGAATGTGTTAGAGTATTCAAACCATATCTCACAAGATGGCTTCTCATCTAAAAGGTGTTGCAAAATCAACTATGTCAGATCAAATAAGTAAGGAGTTGTGTGAGTACAAGAGAGATAATCCTACAAGCACACAAAAAGACTTGCAGAGATGGCTTGAGGGAAAATTTCAGTTGAAAGTTAGTCAAGGAACAATATCAAACACACTTAAGCGGTCAGATGACTATCTCTCTATTGAAATAGAAAAGGGAAGAGCAGAGATCAAAAGACACAAACCAATAAAATATCCTGACATGGAGAAGGTTGTTTATGAGTGGTTTCTCCAACATCAAGAACGTGTGAATATACAGGAGAATTAATTTTGCAGAAGGCAAGAGATATAATGAAACTCGTGTACCCTCATGATGATTCATATTTTAACTTCTCTATAGGATGGCTTGGGAAATTCAAGCACCGACATGGCATAAAGTCATTTCGTCGTTTTGGCGAGAGTGGGTCTGTTGATGTACAAGACATGGAGCAGAAATTGGTATCGATTCGGGAGAAAATTGATCAGTTCCCTATGAAAGATGTTTTCAATATGGATGAAACTGGGTTGTTTTATAGGCTACAAGCTGATCATTCACTGGCAACAAAACAACTTGAAGGAAGAAAATAAGATAAAGAAAGGCTGACGGTAGTTATTTGTTGCAATGAAGATGGATCTGAAAAAATCCCTCTATGGATTATTAGGAAATATGCAAAGCCTCATTTCTTCAAGAATGTCAACATGAATAGCTTGGATTGTCAGTATCGAGCTAACAGAAAAACATGGATGACTAGTGTGCTTTTTGATGAATATGTTCGTTCATTTGACCAAATGATGCATGGTAGAAGGGTTCTACTTGTGGTGGATATTTGTCCAGCACATCCAAGAAATATTGAAGGGCTAATAAACGTTGAGTTATTCTTCTTGCCACCCAACATGACATCAAAGATTCAACCTTGCGATGTTGGGATAATAAGAGCTTTCAAGATGTATTACCGTAGAAGGTTTTACCGCAAAATATTGGAAGGTTATGAGGTGGGACAATCTGATCCAGGGAAGATAAATGTCCTTGATGCTATCAATTTGGCAATCCCAGCTTGGACGATAGATGTTCGAAAAGAAACAATAGTGAATTGCTTCCGACACTGTAAAATTCGTTCAGCTAGTGACGTTGCAAGAAATTTGGATGAATCCACTTTTGATGAAGAAACTCAAGACCTCGAACCTATGATCAATCAATGTGGCTATCGTAATAAGATGGATATCGACAATCTAATGAACTACCCAGGTGAAAATGAAGCATGTTCGAAGGTTCAGAGTTTAGAAGATATTGTGGGTACTATCATTGAGAACAATGCAGAGGATGACAGCGAAGATGATACGGTGTCTTTGGAGCCTGTTACGCGAAAGGAAGCACTTATGGCGTCGAACACTCTTCACAACTTTATGATACAATACAAAAATACAACACTTGAGCTATTGGATGCAAAAAGAAAAGTTAGAGATGAGCTCTAAATAGACTTGAACTTTAAAGGAAAACAGACAACTATTGAATCATATTTCAATAGAGTGTAATATATTTTTTTCAGTTTCCATGAATTATTAATTTTATCGAGATTTTTAAATTTTACATTGGCCCAAGTCGGGACCGGACAAATTTATTATTTTAGAGAGTTTATTAATTTACCGAGTATTAATTTAAAGAGTTTCTACTGTATACCATTTTTTCAAAATAAGAGTTGAATTTTTTTCGATTCACTCGTGTGTATAATGTTACAAACATTAATTTTAGATAATGAGATGATTTGAAAAAAAAATTAAACACCTATTTAAGTAAATTTAGACAATTATTTTATAATTAATCCTAAAAAAGTCTTGGATTTTACAAAGTATTGAAAATTTTGTCATATATGTTTCTTTTAAATATAATGGTCTCGTGTCAAATGATATTAAAACGATATTTTAACTATCTAATTTTACGTCAAGCCTTCCAATGAATAGAATAAGTAGGGTATATAATTGTGACGATAATTGATGACGAGAATGTCATGGGAATAAATAAAAAAGAATGTCACAAGTTAAAGAGATAAAATAAAATATTAATTCCATATTGAAAAATAAAAAATTATAATTCGATCAAATTTAATAAAAATGTCTGAATAGAAAATGAGTTTAATATTTGAATAAAAATTTCTGTTGGGAGACTTACCCACCAAAAACATGTGTGTGACCCGGATCGATTCAAATTAATCAAAGCGAAGCCTTGAGAATCGGAAAGATAAAAAAAAATAGTGTTAATATAATAATAATAACATGATTAAATAAAATAAATAAAAATGATTAAATTTTACGATAAAATTAAATCTATAACTTACGTATAGTATATAAACTAATAAAATAACAAGTTAAAAATTAATCTGCTGATAAACATAAAATTTTTAAAATATAAAATTAATAATAATCAAATTAAATTTCTTGATAAAATCTACAACCTACTGGTTTTCTTAAAAAAAATTCCTTTTATTTAACTGATAGATTGCAACTCCTCAACTGTTCACCTACTGCTGCCGCTGCTTACTGGTGGATGATGTGACATTGCTTCTCGTTGCCGTAAAATGAAGCCTCGGATTTCACTTCCTTCTTGTCGGAAATGACATTTACATCTCTTACAATTAATCATAGTCTTATAAATCAAGTCAAAATCTTCTACCTGCCCAAACTAGAATCTATGTACTCGCTCAACCATCTCCATTGACCATCAAAGCTTCCCCCTTGAATTGAAATCTACTCCATTTCCGATCAACAAATCCAGCGGCTACATATCACTAACATCTCACCAAAAATCAAATACACCCTTTGGCCCTCTTACTCTTACAAAAGGATCTCTCCTTTGTTTCCATGTTTCAAACCCAACAGTTAAAAATCGTTTCTTCAACCAAAAATGGCGGAGGTTTTACCGGTGGGGCGGTTCCCGGCGTTCCTGTCTTCGCGTAAAACTCTCTTCACTGTCCTTTGGATCTCGGCTTTCGGTTCTGTCTTTTTATGGCAACGGGATATTGTTGGAGCTGGGTTCTCGATGTTTGGGAAAGTTTGGCCGGGTCGGACTATGTCCGAGGGTCGGGCTTTCGATTTTAACATGACTGAGTTTGGTGCTGTTGGGGATGGGGTTACGGATAATACGGCGGCGTTTGAGAGGGCTGTCTCGGCGATCTCGAAGCTCGGGAAGAAAGGCGGTGCGAGGCTCAATGTCCCGCCGGGGAAATGGCTCACGGCGCCGTTTAATCTCACTAGTCATATGACTTTATTTCTGGCCGAGGATGCTGAGATTATTGGAATCCAGGTTGGTTTCCTCAAAATATCATATCATGAACGTATAATGATGTTAGTTTAAGTGAATTTTCTTTGTTGTAGCCAATTATTCAGCTGTTTTGTCTAAGACACCGGAAATCTTGTTGGATTCTTTGTCTGGCATTATACAGGATGAGAACCGGTGGCCGTTAATGCCTCCGTTGCCGTCCTACGGATACGGAAGAGAGCATCGAGGACCTCGGTACGGAAGCTTAATCCACGGCCAAAACCTCACAGATGTCGTTATAACTGGTTGGTTTGCGATTTCGAATTTCGATTCGTTTAGCAATAGTTCTTCTTAAGCTGATCAAATGAGTCTCGGTGTGATCTTCAGTAAAAGAACTAAACAGCAAGTAATACATGTAATGTGGATCTGATCGGTTAATAGGGAAATTTGATTGGCTGCAAGCAACACATGTAATGTATATTCGAGTCCGGTTTACCGTTTTTCTTTACGAATCGACACTGCAATCCTTGTTCTATATGGATCAGTCGTCGCCCGTCGAGTCTGATTGTACCCTTTATCTTTGCAAATGGACAGGGAATAATGGTACCATAAATGGACAGGGTCAGTCATGGTGGAAAAAGTATCGTCAGAAGCTACTCAACCACACCAGAGGTCCTCTTGTGCAGATAATGTGGTCGAACGACATCGTAATCGCTAATATAACCTTACGTGATTCTCCGTTTTGGACTTTTCATCCTTACGACTGCAAGAACGTAACAGTTCGGAACGTTACCATCTTGGCACCCGTATTTGAAGCCCCGAATACCGACGGAATCGATCCTGGTAAGTAATCCCTAACAATAGAAATTAAACACTTGTCTGTGAAAGTTTCTGGTAGCCAAGGCTGTAGACCCAATTCTCATGCATACAATTAGTAGTTGCTTAGAAGTGTTTGTTCCACATCTAAGTTGCTTGCGGTGCAAGATTTGTCGATAATCCGTAGAATGAATTCGAGACTGGAAAAATGGTTATTAGTTCATTCCGAATGTAACTAAATGCAAGTCGTATGCGGCATAAACAGATTCGTGTGAGGATATGGTGATAGAGGATTGCTACATAAGCGTCGGTGACGATGCAATTGCAATAAAGAGTGGCTGGGATCAGTATGGCATAGCTTATGGACGACCCTCTCGAAACATTCTCATCCGGAACCTCATTGTCCGCTCTATGGTCAGGTGAAGTTTCTCGGTATTTCTATTCGTTTGTCCTCCCCGTTCTGTTACACGACCGGAGTTTTTGAACGTTTAACTGTGCATATCATCTTCACTGATGTACAGAGGAAATTGCTCTGCATTTCTTGTATCACAAGTCTAGAATGCGTTTTTACTGTACCTTTTATCAGCCCCTGTTTGTATTTGGTTAAGTGAACATTTTGACTCTTGGCTGAACATATACACAGTGCCGGCGTATCGATAGGCAGCGAGATGTCTGGTGGGGTATCGAATGTTACCGTGGAGAACCTCATTGTCTGGAGTTCCAGACGTGCGGTTCGAATCAAGACCGCTGCCGGAAGAGGTGGATATGTAAGAGATATAACGTACAGGAATCTGACATTCAACGATGCTCGAGTCGGAATCGTTGTCAAGACAGACTACAACGAGCACCCCGACTTAGATTTTGACAAGAACGCTCTCCCGGTACTCGAGAACATAAGCTTCACCGGGGTACGCGGTGAAGGAGTCCGTGTGCCCGTTCGTATACACGGCAGCGAAGACATCCCGGTCAGGAACGTGACTTTTAGGGATATGAACGTGGGGATTACGTATAAGAAGAAGCACGTATTCCAATGTGCATTCGTTCAAGGTCGCGTGATCGGGACCATATTCCCCGCTCCTTGTGAAAACCTTGATATATACGATGAAGACGAAAGGCTCGTAAAGCTCTCAACTGCCCAGAATGCAACAGATATAGATTACGGTGTCTGACAAGACGGTGGATCATCATCTCCGGCAACCGTTCTTCGTGGGATCAAAATCGGAAGGCTTAAAACTGTATATCTGAAATGAGGAACAAGATTGGAGCAGTGGGGCTTGTTCAAATCTTGCCCCTTTTGGCTCCAATTTCTTTCTATAACATGATCATATGATCGCCTCTCTCCCACTGTCTCATTGGGAATCCCAAAGAAATTTTATCTCTTAAAGACATTGTTCATGCACGTTGGATCAAGACAATTTGTATAGTAAATAAACACGTGTTTAACCAACAACTAGTTGGTCTAGTAAGATGAGACACTAGGTCCCTTAAGCAAACTCATAGGTTCAAATCCTGACGTTTGCGAATGGAGCAAATTAGATTGGGAGGGTCGTCATCGCCTCTGCAGTACCTGATCTGGATTAGTCGGCCAATAAATCGAATACCAGTGATTAATTAAAAAACACACGTGTATATAACATAATTCACGTTAGATTTAAATTGATATTCAGTGTTCAACTTGGTGAAATGATTAAAAGAACGAGTTAACTACGTACTAAGATAAAATTTGGGAAATACTAGGATAGTAAAAATACCCCTCTATTAAAAGCTTAACATGTTTAATATCTAAACTATTAGTTTTGGTCCATTTTAGTACATAAACTTTCAATTTTTTTCCAAAACTTAACGTTGAATTTTGAATAGGGTACTAAAATGAAACAAAAAACTAAAGTTTTTAACGATGAGATACTAAAATGAAACAAAAACAAAACTTTAGGTATAGTTTGAAAACTGAAATTCTAGGAATCAACATAAACCAAAACTGATAATTTAGATACTAAACGCGTAATTTATCCAATAGTTTAAAAGTAATGTCAAGTCAAATCAAGTTCAAATTTAAGATAAAAAATACATTATTCAACTCGGGATTTTATATATATATATATATTTTTTCAATTAGATCATTATTTTATCAAATAAAAATAAGAATTTATGTATATATGTATGTCAGGTAGGGTGGATTGAATCAGATGTGAACTTTTACCTCCAAATCAAGTGTAGTTTTAAAGTCGAGTTAAACTTTCTTATATTCAGGTCGACTATATATCGATAAAGAAATAAATTCGAGTCAAATTTAAACAAGTCAAAAACTTAATCCGATTCAGATTTATGATCATCCTTAGACGAATTGGAATGTAATGTAAATGAGGTAGCATATCTTTTGTAGATTATGACCAAAGATTTCGCCATTCTATTTCTTACAATAATTTGATACCCAAAATCCTATTTGGTGAATAAACGACACATCAACCACTACAAAACTCACATGACACGACAGTGAAACACGATATACATGGTAAATGTTGCGTAAACAAAAACTACATCATTTAAAGACGTGTGGGGATATTCAAGATTTGTTGCAAGGTGGTCCATTGGCCTTGTGAGAGAAGGAATATCACATGGTGTGGGGTACTTCAGATGGAAATCGAGGGTAGTTCTGCCTTAGGATAGTTTAATTCAAGATTAAGGAAATAATGAAATAACGTGATCGAAAATGTTATAAAAATTATAAATTTTTTATTAGACACAATTTAAAATGTAGATTTTTAACATTTTCAGTTTAACTACAAATATTATACATAAAGTAACATTTTTTGTTATTAATCGAAAAATATTATAAAAAATATTAATATTTTAAATTATATCTAACAAAATATACTATAATTTTATAATAATTTCGATCACGTACTTTATCAATCTTAAATTAGACAGACCTATTATGTTGCATTAAAATTTGTCAGTGTGCCGCTCAGTTTGACCCACCTGACATTCCTATAGTAGCCCCAACAACTGTTCGTACCTTTATTGGGATGTACAACTTTCCAAGGATTCAGTGTTGTATTCCCAAAGTGGACCCTCCTTAGCAATATAGTCGAGTTTTCGATTAAGTCCGGTCGAGTTGAATAAATATTTTTGAGTTATTTGAGTTCACTAGTGGTATTTTATAATTTAATTTTAACTTAAAAAATTTTCGAGTTAAGGCGATTTATTCGAGTTTCTATATAAATTTTATTATAGTTGTTTATAGTTTTATAGTATGATTTGGTTATAATTGTTTTGACTTTCTCTAACCATATAATATATATACATATATTTTATATTTTTTACATTATAATGTTATTTAATATATCAAATATAACTTAAAGTTATAAAATATATTTATGATATTATATATAAATAATGTATTTTGAGGTAAAGTATTGATGAGAATATAAATGAGTCAAAGAATTAATGTAAAGAAAGAATTTGTAAACAATTGTAGTTAAAAGATTAAATTGAATAAAATTCAAAGTTAAGGGACCAAATAAAAAAGTGTACATTCTTAGTAAAATATAAGAATTGAAATTACACATGTATTCTATAATGGTGTATGAGCATGTGGTTTAAATTTTGAAAAAAATACTTAAAATGAATGATGAATTGAAGAAACAAAGAAATCGTGAAGAGTTTACATACTAAATTAAAAAAATAGAAAACTTGTCATCAAAAATAGAAATTAAAAGTACATAAATATTCTATGATGGTTTAGGAGCACGAGATTCAAATTTGATAGAAATTTACTTAAAATGAAAGAGAAGTTTAAGGAATATAGAAAGCGTGGATTAAATCATAAAATTACTAAAATAGTTAATCAAATTTTTAGTTTTTCGAATAACTCAAAATTTTAAAATTTCAACTCAATTCAAATTAAACATCGAATAGATAATTTGAACTGATTCAAATAACTTGATTTAAATAACTCGAAATTAAAAAAAATAGATTTTTTTTATCAAATCCAATTGTCCCTCAAACCGTCCTAAAAAAACCATCTAGGTACGGTGCCGTTATTTTCCCCAAAAAAGGAAGGGTTACTTCGTCAAATAACTAAAGAACCGACACGCCAATCGCGTGTTCGATGCTCCTTCCTTCTACACGTCTGTCGAGTCGGAGTCCCCCGTGACTCCTTTTCCTTGCTGTTCTTCTAATATTCTTCTTATTTAGGATTAATTATGCGTTTAGTATATAAATTATAAGTTTTAATATATCTTAATTTTTAAATGCTTATTTTTTAAAAAAATAAGCATTTAATTTAGTTTTATTTTAGTATAGCGTCATTAAAAACTTAACAGACGGACTGACGTGACATAATTTCGGTAGACTGATGACAAATTCGAATGGGGGACCATGATAGAATGATGAATCGACCAACATAGTTTAGTTTGATGCCCACTGGAAGGTGAACCACTGAGATCGAAAAATAAAGAAATCAAAGAGTCCATCGTCGATTCGAGAAGATCGAGGTGTTTCCAGAATAAATGAAGCTTGAAATCGAGTTCAGAAGGTTGAAATCGAGTTCAGAGGGTCGAACAGGTGCGGATTGAAAAGTTCAGGCTTCATCAGTTGACATATATGACGGTCTACAATTGTAGACGCGGTGATAAACGAACTCGTCTGTTAAGTTTTTTAACGAAAAAAATACTACAATGAAATAAAAATTAAACGACATATATGATTTTGAAAAAAAAAATATAGTAAAACAGACCAGAAATGATACTTTAGGTACTAAACTCATAGTTTAACCTTTTGTTTATTTCAATAATTTTTTAAAAAAAATTCAATTTGGTGTACGAAACAGGGACCCACTTTGGTTGGAGAAAATATAGATTAAAAATATTAACAAAAGAAAAGGCGGCAATTATCATGCACCGCCACGAGAAAAATGCTATGTTCACTACCGCCTCTGATTATCTGCCACGTGTAAATGCAAGAGTTGTGCATTGCATGTGCACCCACTACAACCATACCTTTTCTTCTCATCTGCATTTCTCACACGAGCCTTCTTTTTTCCGCCTTTTCTTTAACAAAATTTCTCACACGAGTTTCACACGGCCCTTTCTCTTTTTTAATTACAAATTCCCAAATTGTTTCCCATTTTTTTAATTTAAATGGTTAATTACACCAACTTTCACTACGAGTCACTAGATTTTAAAAAATTCAACTTTAGCCACTGAATTTTTATGTTACGGCCGTAATACCCGTCAATACTAACATTAACATATTTACATTTCAGTCATCTTTTTTTATCTAATTGATTTTTCATGTATTTCATTCAAAGTCAACAACTCTGATCTCTTTTGATGAGATTAATTTTAAGGTATATTGTTCTCTCCTCGAAGTAATACTTCTCACCATTCAAATTTTTGAAAAAACCCTCAAATCCCCAAATTCAAAAAAGACAATTAAATCCCTAAAATGGTAATTTTGTTTGTTTAATTTCATCGATATTAAGTGAGTTTCGTGAAAAATTCATATCATGAAAAGAAATATGAGTGTAATGTGAACGTTTTGATATTAATCTTACAGCGAATGGTGATCAATGATGAGCAATGATCCACTACCAACATCGATAAAAAATATCGTGTCTAAAAGTAGATCATTTAGAGATTTAGTGACAAAATTAATATACTTCTAGAGTTAAATACTAAAATAATAAAGCACAAATAATCGCAACACGTTTTGTCCATGTTTTCTCGCCTTCTAAATTATAATAAATTCATTATAATTAAACAAATTAATATTTTAATAATAAAATAATACACTATTCAAAGTTTTGGTGACATATGATATAATTTATAAACTATTACTTTTAGTTCATTTTAGTACTTAAACTTTCAATTCTTTCAAAATCATGCTTTACATTTAGTTATTATTTCATTTTTGTACCATGTCGTTAAAAACTTAATACTTTTAGTATCTAAACTATCAATTTTGATATGTTTTAATACCTAAACTTTCAAAAAAATTCAAAACTTAATGTTAAATTTTGAACGGAGTAATAAAATGAAACAAAACTAAACTTTAAGTATGATTTTGAAAAATTAAAAGAATAGATAATAGAATGAACAAAAACTGATAGTTTAGATACTAAACATGTAATTTACCTTAATTTATATGTTAAATTAGTCCGGATACGATAAACATGGTGCATAAGAAATCAGATGTAGGACCCACCCAAAGTTGAAGCGCACAATTGGGAGAGTCTGGACTACCACGTGTCCAAATATTATTTGAGGAATGAACATGCGCTTGCCGCTATTTTTCAGATTCAAGGAAGCGAGGGCACAACGGTATTTTAGGAACGAACAAAACTCATTTCAATTCAAAAAATTGGTTTTTTTATTTGACTTAAGAATTTTTTATTAGAATTAATTTCGAGTTATAATTTTATAAATTCGATTCGATTCAAATAAAATTTAAGTTCAAATCTAATAGGAAAATACAACTCGAATAACTCGAAATTATTAATAATTAATAGATTAATTTTTAATTTTGAGTCAAATTCCTCGACTCTATATGATACGTGCTTAATCAATACACTTGTTTTACTAAAATACCATTTGTTGGTGATTTTCCATTTATATTTTGTACAATAAACAATTGTAAGATATAATTTAGGTTAAGTGATTAATAAGAATGAATGAACAAAACAACACGCGTTGAGAATCCGGAACAGAGGAGACAATAAGATAATTGAAGCTGTAGGGCAGCTGCAAAGCTTAAACAAAGCATCATTTATTCCTCGTGCTTTTAACCCACCTTCTTCCTCTTCTTCTACCTGTTATTTTCACACATAAAAAAAAAGCCGGCTTCGGTCTTCTCATATAAATAAAGGCTCTTGCTTTGCCAACTATCATAATTTCCCAACAGATGCTTGATTTTAGCTGTTGAGTATTAAAGAATCGAGGGTATTTGGTTTTCCAAATCATTCTCTGAAAAAAACCCAGAGGAGCGAAGGATCGGATTCTGTTTTTGTTTGAACTTTGAAGGATGTCTTGTTCACCGGAGAAGAAGCCGAAGTTTAGCCAAACTTGTAGCCTTTTGAGTCAGTACTTGAAGGAGAAAGGTAGTTTTGGAGATCTGACTCTGGGAATGACATGCAATGTTGAAGCTAATGGTAAGTTCTCTCTTTTTTAGATGTTTGATATTCAGATCTCAAAACAGTAAAAACGTGTATTTTATTCTAATTTGAATTTTGAACCATGTGCGTTTGTATGCAGGGAATCCGGAGATGCTGCGTCCTTGTCCCACCATGAATTTGTTTCCGGTCACTGAGAAATCCGGTGGCGACTGTGGGCGCGACGTTGGGGCGGCTCGGAAATCGAGATCGATGGATCTGTTCGCTAATCAAGCTGGTTTTCCATCACCACCGGTTCCGAAGGACGATGGCCTGAAAAGGGTTGATTCTAGTGTTACCACCGTGAACAAAGCGGCTGCGGCGGAGCCTCAAACTGCACAGATGACAATCTTTTACGGTGGACAAGTGATTGTGTTCAACGATTTCCCGGCCGATAAAGCTAAGGAAATCATGCTTTTAGCTGGCAAGGGGAACTCTCGAAGCAATAGCATGGCTAGAAGACCGGTTGAATCCGGTACCGGAGTTCCACCTACCGCTAGTTTCAGCCACACCGCCACACAAGACTGCGTACGCTCTCCTCTGCGACCAATTCCCGGTGGCGGTAAGCCTTGCAGTCCTCTTTGTTCTTTCAATAGTCGGAGTAAAGTTCATATTTCCGGGTTTCTTATTGGTTACTTGTCCGTTGCAGATTTGCCAATTGCGAGGAGAGCTTCACTCCACCGTTTCCTCGAGAAGAGAAAGGACAGGATCACCACAAGCGCACCGTACCAGATTGTTAACCCGGCAGCTCCGCCTTCCAAGCCCGCCGACGACAAATCTTGGCTCGGTTTGGCTGCCCAAACCCCGCAATAGTTGAGGTTTATTGTTACGCCTCCTATGGATTTTTGTTTTTCAGCTTGCCGTTTCATTTAGCTGTTCCCTTAGACCCTAACTCTCGATCAAAATCCCATCATTAGTTTAATTGTAATTATTCTCCACTATTACATTGTTAGTTAATGAATCAAAAGTTATTGATCTTCACTTCGATGATGGTATGAACTACGAACTTGGTGTTGAAGTAATAAAAAAGCTGAAGTAACTGGGGATTGGTAAAAATACGCTTATGGGTGTTTGGATTAAGGAACGTGGGATTCTCATTGGAATGAAATCCACATTCTCATGTTTGGTTGGTCGGAAATCTCATTTCCGGTAATGTTTTATTACAAATAATAGATTTTTTGAGGTATATTATCGGGAATGTCATTATCTCATTTTCCTTAGGTATTGTTGGATTACCGACGTTTTAGACTAAAATGTATTTAATTTTTGTTTTCTTTCAAAAATATAATTCTTCTGTCATTAAATAATAAAAATTCTACGAAGGTTAAATTACAAATTTATCCTTAAACTATTTTAAATTTATAAAAAATATATAATTAAAATATTATATGAAGTTCACGGGTTAAAATAAAATTTTACCCTTTCATTAAATCTTTTTATATTTTCAATTTTATAAAATATATATATATATATATATTTTATGAATTTAAATTTTTTAAAGAAAATATATAAATATTTTCTAACTTGTTAAAAAAACAAATATATAATAAGGACAATTTGGTCAAATATACATTCAAATAATCTTTTATTCCTTTCACCAAATACGGTAATCTTATATTTATGTTAAACCAACCAAACACAAAATACAACATTCCCAGTAATCCTATTCCCTGTTAATTTTATATTCTCACTGATAATCTTACATTTCGTGAACCAAACACACCCTTAATTATTTGATAATACATGTTTAATTATTTTAATATAATCGTTAATGTTTAAATCAGTAAATTTTAAAAAATAATAATTGCTGTCGTCGGAGTTCAAATTCGAAATTTTTAGTAGGCAACGTAAATTGATTCTTGAGGCATTGGCATGAGTTTTGAATTTGATATCAAATCAGTGTCATATCCTGGTCTAGTCGTATGCTACTTTCTTATCAACAATTATGCAGCCTGCCTGCCTGCTTTATTAATTTTCCCTTTGCTTCTTCGTCATCCTTTTTTACAATATATATATTCAAATTAGACATAAATCTTAACAGACGAACTTAGACTAATAAATTAAAAAAAAAAGATAAACTACATGGGTGATCAGTTAATTATTATTTCTTTTCATTAGGATCATCGAAGTTTCGAAGTTTCGATTTAAGCTGTTCCTGTCTGCAATCGATTAGATCTTGGACCTTACGTTTCAGTGCCCTACAGTTATCAGTGGTGTGCCCTGAGCTCCCAATATGATAGCTGCATATGACGTTAATATAATGACCTTCAAGATATGTGGCCTCTCTAGGTTTGGATTGAACCGGAGTCACAAGATTCTTCTCAACTAGCGTTGGGAGAAACTCCTCATATATCATTGGGATTGGACTGATGCGAGTCTTTTTATGAAAGACATTATGAGGTCTAATCCCCAAATTAGTCAGGTAAGATTCCCTTTTGTTCCTTGGTTCTCTTTGAGTTCGTTTAGAAATACCGGATGATACAACTACAGTGGTTGAAATTGTAACACCTTTGTTAGCATTGTAGGTGTTGATATTGTTGATCTCTAGCTCTTTGTCCTTCATGGGAGGCTTATCACTGGAGTTCTCTCCTTCGATTTTTCCTTGTTTTATGGCTAGCTTGATCATCTCACCAGCCATAACTAGATCTGAGAAAGTTCCTGATGTAATTGCCACCAGGTGCCCGAAGTAAGGCGTCTTCAAGGTCTGTACAAACAGTTTTCTAGTTTCTTTTTCATCCAAAGGTCGATGAACTTCTACAGACAGATCCCTCCATCTATGTGCATATTGTCGGAAACTTTCGTTATGCTTCTTTTTCAGGCTTTGCAGTATAACTCGGTCTGATCTCATATAATTGATATGCTTGTACTGTTCTAAGAAAGACCTGGCTAAGTCTTTCCATGTCTTGATATGAGTTCGGTTGAGCTGGTTGTACCACCAGATAGCTGAACCGGACAGGCTCTCTTGAAAGCAGTGAATCAAGAGTTGGTCATTTCCCCCATATCTCGTCATCTTCCGACAGAACATAGTGATGTGGGCTGAGTGACAACTATTCCCATCAAACTTCTCGAACTCAGGGACCTTAAACTTTGGTGGAAGCACCAAATCTGGCACCAGACTTAGCTCCATTGGGTTCACTCAATAATAATCATGGTTCCCTAGGACCATCTTCATTTTATCTTCTAACATCCTGATCTTTTCTTCCATCTTCTTTGCCTTGTTCTCCTCGTCAAAATCCGGGATAAGGCAATTATCTGGATGACTATCAAGATTTGCTGAAGAAGTATGTAAATTTGCAACCGATACAACCTTCCCTTTGGCGGCAGATGAGTCACCTTGAAGTCCGGGCAAGATCCCGGATGAGACAACCACTTGTGGGGTCGGTGGTATGGTTATCCCCTCAGATACACCTACTCCGGGTACACTTGCTTGTTGTTGTAAACCAGACAACTTAGCCACGATCTGGTCGACTAAGGACTCCGTGCTTTTCTTGATGGACTCCATGATACCTTGACTGTTCTGAGCCATTTTGTCCTCCAATTCTTTATGCAGCATTGCCATGTTCTCTTCGATTTGTATGATTCTGGTCTTCATTCGCCTATTTTTCAAGCGGGTGTTTTGCGGATGGGGTGTGTCCAACGCTTGAGGTGGTGTATCCAGTATTTATTCCTTTTTTGAACCATTCTTTCGTTAGTTAATGCGAATGCAAAGAAAATAACAAAATACAAAATATGTCTAAATACATGATGCATGAAATGTCTGAGGCATTGATCCAAAAAAATGTGTATGTTATTATGAATAATCCTTATTGGGGACAAGAGTGTTTTATCTATTAAGAGACCAAAAATATCATGACAGCTTTTGACATGCTGACTAGTCTTCTGCGTTCTTCAGTCACCGATTGAATAATCTGTCGAACTGCTCCGACTTCTCTGGATGAACCGTGCAAATGTTGAGTTGCTTTTTGTACTTGCCCAAGAAGTCTCGAATGACTGCATCTCGGACATTTATCTTTTGTTGAGCATGAATACGTCATCGGAGCCCCTAACTTATAGGAACTATATAAAGTTCATTTGTATGTTTCTTGAGTTCGTCAGTAATGGTCTCCAACTTCAGTTATCGTTTTACCATTGTTGTCTTTGAAGGGACTCCCAAGATCAATAACCTTCATCTTTCCCATGCAACCTCTGCCAGTTAGTTCTTCCAAGATAAACTTTCATTGTGCTTGATGTAGACCCGGTTCATTCTGAGTCCTTTATAATGCAATAGAGTGATATAATCTTCAATTGTGGGCACCACGTCTTTTGGATTAAATATGACACATAGTCGCCTTGTAGACTGTCCTCTGCATTTTCATCTCTTCTATTACAAACCCTTTGTCCAGTAGTTTAGATTATTTTGTGTGTAGCAAATACCTTTTTAGGGATCAATGATCTCTTGTTATGATACAAATGCTAAGAAAATAAACACAAAGGCAACAAATTAGTGAATAAATAAACAAAAAAATGACAAAAGAAAGAAAGAAGAGCATGAGGAAAAAAAACAACATGGTCAGGGCAAAAATGTCTTAGGGCTTGAAATGGGGTTTTGGGGTAGGCTCTATTTCTCCATAGTCTCCCGGTTTAGGTTCTAGAAACGGTACCCGAGTTTTCCTTGCCGGCGCCCTCTTGGGCTTACCAGACCTTTAGTCCTAAGCCCATTATAAGCTTGTGTGGACTAAGTTAAACTCGGGAGGAAAGATTCCCTTATGCCCATACGGAGAATAAATTCACACGAAGACATAAGGTATATGAATCCCGAAGGCTACTTGCTAGGCCCATACGGTGAATAAATTCACACGAAGGTGTCGCTTTCACCCCCACTTAAAACAGGTTTGGAGCTCGGGTTTAGAGCCTTAGATGAAAATTCTTTAGGGGCTGAAATCATTAGAAAACGATTAGCACAACTATTTACTCGAAAAATATAATCAAAAGTAAACAATAAGGATCAAAATGTTACCTTAAAATTTAAACTTACCCTTTTTGTTAAAAAGACAACTGGAAATTACCTTAGCCTGACTCACTTACCTGTTTCCCTATCGGAGTCGCCAAGTTATCGGAACCGTCTTTCGGCTGGGCCAGGAATTGGGCTTTGACTTAGAAAATGGGTTGGAGTCGCCACCGATCATTTTAAAATGATATTTAGGTAAATCAGACACCATCTTACCTGATATACATCTTACCAAAGATGTGTCGGATTCGGGAATCGATTACAGTCAAGGCAGGGTTAGCACCCTTGAAGTGCCCTTTCGGTACTATATAATTTTCAGTTGTCTTAAATTAAGAAAATTGTAGTTTTAAACTAAATGGTAAAATAACGAGCTAAATTACTTACCTTTGACGAATTTGAATTTGTACCCTTAAAAAAGAATGTTAGATTTAATTAAACAAATATAAAAGAAAAAAGGATAAAGGATAAAGAAAAATAATAATAAAAGAATAAAAGAAATAAAAAGGAAGATAATGGTATGTATATATATAGAGGCTAAAATACTGAAAAAATAAAAAACATGAAAATATAAACAAAAGGTAAAATATACATATACATATATATATATATATATATATACAAATGTTAAAGTAGATAAAAAAATATGTGAAACAATAGCATATACTAAATAAAAACAAATAAATAAAATAGATAAAAGTATATATATATATAAATGCAAGAGAGGGAAAATAGATATTAAGTACAAAAGAAAGAAAAATAAAATAAAATAAAATAAAATAAAATAAAACGAAAAAAGAATAAACAAAATAATTATGCCAAGAATTTAAATTTCAAGAGAAAAAAATAAAAAAGAAAATGATGTATTAAAAATAAGAATAAAAGATAAAATAAAGTAAGATATGCGAAATGTATAATAATAATAGTAGTAATAAATAAAGAAAATATGGTAAATGAAAAAAATAAGTATATATATATATATATATATATGTAAAATAAAAAATGATATATACAAAAATATGAATAACAAAATAAAATATAAAAAATAATAACAGTAAAAATATAATTAAATATATATATAATAATAGGGGACTAAAATAAAATAAAAGCAAAATTAGTGGCCAAATTTGAAGCCAATTGAGGATTAAAATTGATTTAGGGGCGAAATTGAATAGTTTAAAACACGGAGTGACCAAATGGAGATTTCTCCATTCTGTTTTAAAACACACAGATCCCCTAGGGGATCCGCTCGGGTCGGGCCACGCTTATGGGTCAGTATAAGAGTTAAAAAGAAAGTGTGAAAGCTTCATTTGCTCTCAACTCACCAAACGAGCCCTCTCCCCATTTCTCCTTTTCTCTCCATATTTTTCGACCATGAAGAACACAAGCCCCATTTCCAGAAAACGACCACCGTAGCCACCTCACCGACCTCCGTTCATCAGCGATGATCCTAAAAAAAATTTGTGTTTTTGAAACCCTTTTTTACCCACTACTCGAAAATCTGAACGATTTTCTCAAAAACACCTAGGGGAGGGCTAGATCTGAGAATAAATATCTCGATACCCTCCCCCGTTGTCATTGGTGTTTCGAACCAACCCTAAAAAGAAAAAAAAAAGAAAACACAAGCCCCCCACACACAATGTCAAAAACCGAACTGGTAAGAAGTTTTTACCTTTATATTCTTTCGAAGTATTACAAAAGAAACGCTTTAATGGTTATGTTTTTTCATGCTATGAGTTGCTCGTAACACTGAAATATTCATAAAATATTTGCTTGTATCAATCATTGTGTTATAAATAGATGATTACATTTATTTATAGGGTTTGAATACCCCTATTTTTTGTGTTTGTTTCCTAGTAGAATACTAACGCTTCATGTTTGCTGGCGTGTTGGACTGTTCCGAGGAAACCGGCGTGGAGTTCGGGTTGTTGGAGTGATGCTGTGGAAAATGGCAACGGCGGCGTGAGGTATGGAGACTCTTATTGGATGAAGCTTGCGGCGCTGAGGAGGGACGTTAGGGTTCTAGGAACCCTAGCTTGCTGGGTCACGTGCTGTTGGGTCTCTGCTGGGCTACTGGGTCTCGTAAACGGGCTACTGGATTTGTTTGTAATGGCTTTGGGCCATATGTAGCACTGGTCCTGAAATAATAATATATACGTATACTATAAGTTGTTATATAATTATATATATATATATATATATTATAATTTAAACGGACGAATTTTAGTGTCTTCTGATAGCATGATCAATAAATGTACATGAACAATCATCTTCTCTTCAAAAGAAAAAAATATGAATGTAAAGTACAAAAGGAAGTTCATTTCTTCATCAAATTACATAGTTTTTCTCATTACAACCTATGCATCACTGCTCCAATCCGACCAAAATTTCCTTTTTTGTTTTAAACAAAAGTTATTAGTTCTTACTAATCCTCATGAAGTTACTGTATTTTTAAGTAGATGTACGTTATAAGCTTGGTTAGTTATTACACAGCTAACAGACTGTAATGCTTCCTGAACAGTAGAGGTATTTCATTTTCAAAGTAATTAGATTATGATTTAGGTTTAAACACCCCACATTTGCTACGTGTCAGCATGGGGTGACAATTCTATGACGAATTGCTTGGCAACCTACTGCACGTAGTTGTGTTTGTACCTCCTCCTGCTTCAACATATCCATATGTACTATATATACTATAAGGTATAACTGGACTCAAAAAATAATCTGTTTTAACACCAATTGTAACTTCCTCAGCAACAAGTGGTGTACTACCGTACTGATTAGGAATCTGCAGCTGTGACTGACATATAGCCCTATCATCCCCTTCACACTGTATACTACTAACTGTCCCAGCTGGAATAACACTGTTTGGCTAATTTCTTATATCAACAACAATAGGAATGTCCTGAGACTGTAACCCTGGTGAATGATGTTGTGAGCTAACCACTACTTTTTCTGCAAAAGGAAACACCATCTCATTAAACACAACATGGCGAGATATATAAACTCTACCATCACTCGCAAGACACTAATATCACTTATGCTGAGAGTTGAAGCCAAGGTAAGTGCAAGCCTTTGATCGAAATGATAATTTATGATTCTGAAAGGGTCTCAAATGTGGAAAACATTGATACCCGAAGACCTTTAGTGAAGCATATTCTGGATTCTTTTGAAACAGTTTCTTGAACGATGTCATTCCTTCAAGCACTGTTGTAGGTAACCGATTAACAAGGTGACAGCAGTCACCACCATATAAGACCAGTACCGAATGGGCAAGGATGTATGAGCTAGTAGAACAAGACCGAGCTCCACTATATGACGATGTTTGTGTTCAACAATGCCATTTTGCTCCGACGTGTGAGGACAAGATAATCGATGCACTATTCTAGACTTGGCTAGCAACAATGAGAGAGCACGGTATTCACCACCCCAATCTGACTGAACTGCCTTGATTGACATTCCAAACTGATTATATATGAGCTTTTGAAACATCTGAAATGCTACATAAGCCTGTGCTTTATCTTTGAGGAGATAAATCCATGATTAACGTGAGGAGGCCCCCACTAATCAAAGAAAACAAGCTCAAATGGTGTAGTGTGCTGGGTATTCGATGAAGAAAATGGCAATTTATGATTTTTGCCCATAAAGCAAGCCACACAAGTTTTATTAACATCTGAATCAAGCTTTACATCAATTTCTTTAGCTACTTTATTCATATCATAACTAGCTGGGTGCCCTAAGCGGTGATGCCAAAGTGCAGACCGCGACAAGCCAGCAGACACGAGATGAGCTGCATCATCACGACCTTCCATATGCTTACAACCAAGTGTAAAGGTATAAAACCCTCCATTCTCTTCACCTTGCAGAAGAATTTCTTTAGAAGACTCATCATGAACGTAACACTTCTCAGCATGAAACTCAAGAAAGACAACATTAACCCTAGCAAGCTTAGAGATTGAAAGCAAATTCTTGGTTATCTGAGGCACGTGTAATAACTCATTTTAACAACAAAAGTTCTTGAAGAAGAAGCAACAACCGTACTACCAATGTTATGTATATCAAGAGAAACTTTATTTCCCACAGTGAGCTTACCTGAACCTCTAAACTCAGCTGGATTTGAAACATTGGCTACATCAGGAGTAATGTGGTGTGTTGCTCCTGAGTCGACTACCCAATGATAAGCAGCTTTGGAGACCATATCAGCCTATGGTTGATTGGTTCCTTGATAACATCCTTTACAACACTCGCAACCCATACTAAGAGTTTCAGTAACTGAAAAATGAGCATTAACAGAATGACCTTTGTGAGATTGTGTATCAGAGGTGACACACATAAAATCCTCATCATAGCGATGCCAACAACGATCAACCAGGTGGCCAAGTTTTCCACATAGCTGACATTGACTCCTAGCTCTTCCACGACCTCGACTGCCAGATCTGACTATTGAGGACGATCGAGGAATCTTAGAATCACGTCGACCACTTTCAATGGAGTCATGATCTTCCTGTCGCTGAGCAACATTATCACTCATAGAAGTGAATCTAATTGTTCATCGAAGCCAGCTAACTGAGCTTCAGCATCTAAAAGAACTGTATAAAGGCCATTCAAGGAGAGTGTATCCTTCATCGTGGTGATAACTGCCATAAATGGTTGGTACTCCCTGGGCAATCCTTTCAAGATGCTAGCAACATGAACGACGTGTGTAACTGCACTATTACACGAGGCAAGTGCATCGTACACTTCCTTTACTCTGGTAAGGTAAACACGCATGTTGTCATTACCTTTCTTGAGGGATTGTAGCTACAGTGTAGGCTCATGGTAACCGTCATAGATCTGTTGGCAAATAGCTGTTGCACCGTAGTCCATACTACATCAGCCGATTCAACACTAACAAACTGAGGAAGAAGATGAGAATTGATGGTGGAAAGAAGCCATGATGCAAGTGCACTGTCTTGCACCTCAAAATCCTCAAAAACATCATTAACACTCACCTCGCCGTTATCACCAATAACCATCTCTGGTGGTGGCTTCAAGGCACCGGTCAACAACCGTTCTAGACGATGGCTACGGACAGTCAGTAGGATTTGTTGTTTCCATAGCAGTAAGTTCATCTCATCGAGAACGACGTTAACTTTCTTATGCAAGAAGCCTTTGGACGACTCAATAACCAACCGAAAAGGAACAACAGAAACCGAGGCTAAAGAGGAAACCCAAGACCTTTGGCGAAACATACCATATTAGGAAAAGCGTTTGTAATTGTAATGCACAAGAAGGGTGTTTTCTTCATTGACTTAACCTTGCTTATATACAAGTTGTACAGTCCGTCATTCATATCGCTAGCTAACAGATTTGCTAACCTCATAACTACTCAACGCTATAGCCACTAAGATACTGACACGTGTATCTCTAATAACAACAATAGTCAAACAAGCAAGTAGTTAATGAACAGGTTTGCTGGTTTTTTCATGGCTAATGAACAAAATTTTCCAGTTTACTGGCTTCGTGTACATGAACAATCATCTTCTCTTCAAAAGAACAAAATATGAATGTAAAGTACAAAAGGAAGTTCATTTCTTCATCAAATTCCATAGTTATTCTCATTACAACCTATACATCACTGCTCCAATCCGACCAAAATTTCCTTTTTTGTTTTAAATAAAAGTTCTTACTAATCCTCATGAAGTTACTGTATTTTCCGGTAGATGTACGTTATAAGCTTGGTTGGTGAGGCCTAAATTGCAAGAATACCAGTTGAGAAGAAGATCTCCCCTGAAGCACAAGATGTTGATACTTTTGCAGACCTTGAAACTTCTGATCTGCACCGTTCTCTCCTCTCATCCGTCATTATTTGCGTTGCCCTACACTCTGAACTGCAAAAAGCTTTCTCTCCCCTGAGAAAAACAACCACCGAAATCACCATAAATCCAACAAGAAAATGAATCCAGAAATGACTAAACTAAAAGCAACAGCATAACAAAAGAGGCAAAGGGTATTTTTTTTTTCTTAAATTTTTTTTACCTGTACATGTAAATGTCTTTGCCATGCAGCTGTTTCCTGCAAAGATGACAACAACTGAGAAAATCTGAAGTTGGGTAACTAAAATCTTCCACAGATCTTGCCCCATTATTACATTTTCTCCTTTGTTCACCACCATCATAATACACCTTTGTAGATGATGATGACTTCCCTGATCCATGGCTAATCACATAAGTAATCTCCTCCAAATTTTCCATCTCTAAATCCTCATGTCTTCCCCTAAATCCATCACGATTCTTGCAAAAATTGACAACAATCAAATTTGAGCTACAAACAGAATGCTTATCAAGTGCAGCAACGATTCCTAGTCCAACCCCACCAGCATCAAATCTCTTCATACCTTTTGGTGATGGAGTTTTGATGTCTGATGAACCTGTGGGGCTTGCAGCAGCATCCAAGAAAAATCCGGGCTTTTTGCCGGCCACAAATAGTTCAGACAATTTTCCGATCATCGGACGTGGTCTCCTCCCTGGCATAACTAAGAAATGATCAAAGCCTTAGCTAAGAGGTGGAGAATCGGAGAGGTATTTGAAGCTGTCTCTCTCCTCCACAGAAGGTAGCCAATGTTGAAAACTGGCATAAATTTATGGAGGATGGTAGACTTAGCCCACGGTTTAGTTTGGAATTATATTATTATTTTTTGTGTCATTATTGGTGCTTTGCTATTATCAAAATTCAATTATTTATTTTGAATGCTTTATATTAATATAATTAAAAATAAGGGTAAATTATGTATTTAGTATATAAATTATTAATTTTGATCTGTTTTAGTACCTAAACTTTCAATTTTTTCCAAAATCATACCTATTTTTTTTCATTTTAGTATTCATGTTCAAAATTTAACGTTAAGTTTTGAATTTTTTTTTAAAGTTTAGGCACTAAAACGTATCAAAAATGATAATTTAAGTACTAACGCATTAAGTTATTAAGATGGGATACTAAAATGAAATAAAAACTAAACGTTAGGTATGACTTTAAAAAATTAGAAGTTTAGGTACTAAAATGAATCAAAACTGATATTTTATATATTAAATGTGTAGTTTACCCTAAAAATAATCTAGTTAATCATGTCAAACATCTTTGGCTTTGATCTAAATTTCAAATCAAAATCGAACTAATATCTAATGTCTAAACTAACGAATTAACTAAAATAAAGGACTTAAATGGTGTGATGTATATATTTCAGAGAACTCGATTAGGATGTTTTGAAATTTTAGACTGAAAAAAACAATTCTATATAGTATAGGGACTTATGATAGAATTAACCCTATATGATTTAATAGAAGGGTCGCTTTTGTGGTGGGGCCAGTATTTATAATTGTATATTGTCCAATGATTGATACCTGATCACGAAGGCTATGGCCCACATCCTGCACTTACCACAATAAAGATTCTCCCCCATCACCATTTATTTTCTCACACGTGGCGCAGATCTAAGGATAGTGATTCCCTCTCAATTATTGCTGATATTCATAGATTTTTCATTATTTTTCTTTATTTAGTATTTGGCTTTTTAGGGATTTACAGCATAATAAATTATAACATTTCACATTGAAATATATTTTATCTCATATTTTACTCACCGTATTTTTTTAATTTATTCACTGAACTTTTGAATTATTTTTGTTTTAATCACTCTAAATTATTTTATTATTATTTTGGTATGACAATGTATTTTTATTATTATTTAATATAAAATAAAAACTAAAGATGGTTGTTCGATTCCAAATTTCATTGATAGGTTCATTTAGATCCATGTGTCCGAATATGATGGTTGTTTCATCCAAAAATATTCCAAAACTCTAAATCTCGATTGAAACATTCCGGCTTCCTCACTTTCAATCTCCAATTCGTGGACTTAGGAGTAAGTTCCGACAAAATGGAGGTAATATTCATACTGACGATGTCGAGGCGAAGCGACCCATGAAATTTAGGACCGAACAACCACCATCTACGACAGTCGACGACAACCGAAGGTGGTATCCGACCACCTTATGTTTTTATTTTATATTTTAACTTATTTTATATTAAATAATAAAAAAAAATGCCACACCACACGAAAATAATAGTAAAAAAATTTGGAATGATCAAAACAAGAACAATTCGAAAGTTAAGTGAGTAAATTAAAAAATTTGAAAGTATGATGAATAAAATAAGGGTAAATTATAGAATTTTCTAAAACAAATTATTTTGGTCCTTATAATATAGAAAATGAAATTTAAATATGGTTTCAGATATAAAGTTTCTTTTATTCATATAAGATGATAACTTTAGGAATTTCATCGATATATCTATAAACGGTTTTAATAATTGTTATAAAATTTATATTTTTTGGAATTTTATTGATAATATATGTTCTTTCGTTTCTATTTGATAATCAATGTTCGAGTGACAACCCAACAAGATACCTCAAAAACTGGAATAGAGACATTATTATTATTATTATTTTATCATATATATTAAAATATTAAATTAAATAATTATATTTAAAATATCCTCTTTGAATATTTTTTTATTAATTTGAGATAAATACAAGACGATATTTTTTTTAAAAGATTATATTCAACTGTTTGACATTGAATCTTGAGGTCCAAAGGGACCTCGACCCTGTAAAAAAATTATGTTCAATATATTTTGATCTAAAAATAAGTATTCAAGTCAAAAAAATATATTAAAATATATTAAATATTTAATCAAGTAGAGACTAAAGAATCATAATTCAATGTTATCAATTTTTTGGCCGAATAATATTTTAATCATTATAAGTTTAAATATTAGATAAATTAGACATTACCTATTGAATTTTAAGTTTAAATATCTAATCCTAACTCCGTCCCTGCGCTCACACCCCTACCAACTATGGTACTTAAACTCGGGTCATCAAAGAATAACAACAATTACATATGTAAAATTTACATATGCAAAATGTATATGCAAATTTCAATTACTAAAAATATTAAGATAAATTATGTATTTAATACATAAACTATAAATTTCAGTCTATTTTAGTGTATAAATTTTTAATTTTTTTCAAAATCATATATAATGTTTAATTTTTGTTTCATTTTAGTAACCACTAAACTAAACACGTTTTGTATTTAAACTATCAATTTTGATCTATTTTAATACCTAAATATTCATTTAAAAAAATAATGTTAAATTTTGATCAAGATACTAAAATGAAACAAAAATCTAAAATTTAGATATGATTTAAAAAAAATGAAAGTTTAGATATTAAAACATACAAAAACTAATAAAAATACTAAAATTGTAACTTACCCAAAAAAACTATACAACAACAAAACTCTATTCCCATATGCAATGAGGTAAGGGGAGGTATGGTAGTAGGCTGACCCTAACGCCAAGTTGAGAACAGCTTCCGTGGAAGGCCTCCAGAAGTCAGAAAATTAAAAATAAAGATAAAATACAATGCATGTATAAATAAATAAATATATAGTTGAACAGTATTCATATGCAGTCTTCATATGCGCGTCTGTAATAGGAAGTAATCCCTGCAAATAAATCCATGCATATAGACATAAACGTAAGTCACAGCTAAATTTAAAAAGAGAAAACATGAAGAAAAGGATGCACGCACAGAAGTCAGCAATAGCAAGCTACGAGAAGGAATAAATTCAAATGAGTTAAAAACCTAAACTAAGGCAATATTACTCCGCTACTCTAGTTTTAAGCCTTCATAATTTCCAATGAAAAAAACATATAAAAAGTAGAAGTCATGAAAAATTACTACATAGTCATTAAAAAGAAATCATGAATAAATATTATTACAATCACACAGAGGTAGGAATGGGCATGGGTCGGGTTTTTGGTCCACCCAACCCGACCCAAGAACAAGGAGTTCTCCACCAGAGATCCGACCAAAATAAATTTTTACTTGACCCGACCCGAAATAATAATAAAAATTTATTTTTATTCAATAAAAACAATGACTTAATTGAAAAAATAATATATAAAGGAGGTAATATTATAATTATTTCTAAATATATAAAATAAAATTATATTTTTTTTGGGTCGGGTCAGGCCGGATATTTTTCACCCTAAACCCAAAGTCGACCCGAACATCACATTTTAAAAAAAACCGACCAGACCCCAAATTTTTTTTAAAAAAAATTATGATCCGATCGGATCGAAAAACGTCAGGTTCGAGTCTCATGCCCATCTCTACACAGACGTATTCAAATATATATATATATATATAAATAACATGTTACAATTATTTGAAATCCGAATCTAACCTAACATGTCCTCTACATTTATAATATTTTATTTTATTTTGATATATTATAAGATTTATATCACATAAAAATTAGATCTATAAATAAACATAATATTGCATTTTTTTTATAAAAAAGGACAACATTTTATTTTCTTAAATTTTTGGCTATTCTAAATCTGAAAATTCAAAGTGAATTCAGATGCTCAAAATCCTGCTAGACATCTAAGAGACTGCAGCCATTATTTCAGATGCTCTCAGAGCAATATAATCCCTGCCGTCGTTGCCCTTGAAGTCATTCCCGGCATACTTTGAATACAGGACCGTGTTTCCGGGTGCGACTGATAGTGGTTTGGCGTTACCTTCATCATCTAAAGTTCCCGGTCCAACCGCTATCACCTGTTACATTTAATGCAGGGGATGAGTAATACATTTTTGCACCATTAGCACAGGGTTGTATGCCCTGATCCCAAAACATATAACTGTTGCTCACCGTGCCGATGGAAGGTTTTTCCTTGGTCGTCTGTGTCAGCAACAAACCTCCGGCGGTTTTCTCCTCGGCTAATCGAATGTGTAAGAACCATTTGTGAATGGCGATCAAAGATGCATTGGAAATTAATGGACCCTAGCTAATCGAAACTTCGACATAACATCGTAGAAGCAACCAAACATACAGATTTTGAAAGGAGGCAAACCTTGATTAAAACTCTTTCGTTCAAAGGCTTGAGATCTTTGATGTCATCCGACTCAAGAATCCCGACAATGTCATCCTCCTTTAGGAGAAGATGATTTGCGCCATTGAACTCGATCTCCGTCCCGGCATACTTGGAATATATGACCTGAGCTCCAGACTAATACAACCATAGAATTGAGTAAGAGTATGATAATGGAGCAACAATTAGAGGGGGGGGGGAAAAACTCGAAAGCATATCGAATCCTTGAAACACACCTGCACAGAACATTCGACTTTGGTCTTCCCAACCGTCTTCCCTTCACCAACTGCAACAACCTCACCTCCTTGAGGATTCGATTGAGCGGTCGTCGGAAGAAAAATGCCGCCCTCGGTCTTCTCCCCCGCTTCTTTGATCCTCACCAACACTCTATCACCCAAGGGCCTAATCGAAGTGTACTGCGCATAGCAATAAGACGAATTCATGCAAGCGGAGAAGCAAAGTACATACAAGGAGATGAACAAATGATCAGCTCTGCTACACTAATTTGTATTAGATTAATCAATTTTCACAATTCAATTAAGCCAATAGCAACAAATTCATGTCAAGTCTCATTCAAATATGAGAATACACAAGGCAATACATCAACATTTGACAAATAACCCAGAAAACAATGTCAAGTTTAATCAGAAAGCAACAATGCAATAGCATCAACAGAGTAATAAGAAGAATTATCTTAGGAGCAACAACGGTAGCCGCTTTAACAACCAATCCTTTAAAGGACCTGTGGGTCAAAGTCCCAGGCTTTAATGTTCCAAAGGAAGCGAATTTCACAGATGAATGCCTAAGGCCTTCAAATGAAGCCAAGTTCCTTGCCGATACTGTCACTGAAGGTGCTGTTAGCTGAGATGTAGCCATTCTCTGTATTCGAAATTGCCCAAGAAGCAAAGAAATTCGAGTTCGATTGATAATGAAGACCTAGACTTTTAAAGAGGAGAGAAAAGATTGTACATTTGAAGAAGATGGTTCTGGGAAGATTATAGAAAAGATTGTACCTTTGAAGAAGATGGTTCTGGGAAGATTATGGAAAGGATTAGGGTTGGTTTGGTTGCTTGGAAGACAAAAACCCTAGTGTGCTACAAAATGGGTTTTAATAGTTCATTAGAAACTTCTAGAATATTGGCGTTTTCGGGGAAATATTGAAAAGCACGCGCCTCACTCTCCGAAGCAGTTGAGTTGGACTCCCACTACACCAGACTCCGAAGAAAGAGCTAAACCCGCCAAAATAATAGGCTACGGATATGAATAACTATTATCCCACGCGCACAGGGGAACAAGATGAACACGATGCTCAGCAGTTTCTTCACCTGGTTGCCTCATTTTGGCCTTGATCATGCTCAGCAGCAGGGACTTAAATAATAGTAGCAGGGTTTTAGTATCGTTCGAAAACTGTTATTATATTGTAGGGATACTCGTAATAGTATCTGTTACATGTATCATCGTAATAAATATAAAACTTTACTGTAATTGTAATTAACTGTTGTCGTAATTTCATGCAAAAGTGCCCAAATAATGATGTGAGGATTTTTAATTCCCAAAGTAATGTAGTCACCCGATTAATTTATGATATAAGGTATTTTCTACAGGGTTTTGGGATTTCTCGATGTTTTTAGAGGTGGACCAGATTTCTCGGCGTCTTTGGGTGATTTTAATTGTGGAAATCTCGGCGTCTTTAGCATTAAAAAAAAAGTTGGCATTTTTACACAAATATTACTTTAACAGAAATTAATTACTTGTTAGGCACTGTTTAAGAATATTTTACAGATCTAGCATATTTTAAATACTTTCTATAAAATTATTCATGCATTAAATTACACAATACAATTATGTCTACCAATTACTACTTGACATTTTTTGATACGTTTTTGACCCTTTCAAAATCCTATACGTATAGTATATTCTAGGATTTTGCAGAAAGGCGCGACACATTCACCGCATAGGATTTTGAAAAATAAATATTAGTTATAAAACTTTTATAAATATTTTTCAAAATCCTATGCGGTACATGTACCGCGTCTTTGCAAAATTATTTTCAAAATGATGATGATATGTAATATTTTATAAAATTATTTATATTTTAAATTACTTACCCTCAAAGTTTCCTAGAATATACTATACGTATATGATTTTGAAAGGGTCAAAAACGCATCAGAAAGTGTCAAGTGGTAATTGGTAGATATAATTGTATTATGTAATTTAATGCATGAATAATTTTATAGAAAGTATTTAAAAATATGCTAGATCCGTAAAATATTCTTAAACAGTGTCTAACAAGTAATTAATTTTTGTTAAGGTGATATTTGTGTAAAATAGTCATTTTTTTTTCTGTAATCCCATTAAACACGCCTAAAAATTATAGATGATTTAATCAGAAATTATTTTGGGAATTAAAAATTCTCACATCATTATTTTGGCACTTTTACCCGTAATTTAAATCTATGTCGTTATTTATACATATATATGATTTAGCACGAATAAATTGACTTTTGTGGTAAATGAATTGTTGTTATTTTTGAGGACTCGAGTTCAAATATCATAGATGTCAAGAGTACAAGCGTTCAATGTCGAAATGTCTTTTAACCGATACTACCTTATATTTACTCTAGATTAACAAAAAAAATACATATTTGATTTAATATAATTTCAAATAAGCATAAAAAAATCTCAAATTTTAATGTTTTAAAATTAATGGATTGACACAAAATACTTGTGTAACATACAAAAAATATGAAATCAGATACAATTGAATTTAGTCTTTTGATTGATTATATAAAAATAATAATTTAATCTCTCAAAGTATAAGCAAAAAGGCCGGGCCGTACAAATGTTGGGCACGGCAAATATTCGGATCCAAACTGGATACTAAAACGCCCAGGTTGACCCGTTTTTAGAAATCCCAAAGAAAAGATTCTGCAACTAAAATCCCATCAAAATTTTCGTCTTCGTACCCGATTTCGGGCAACGTGGATCCGAGAAAATCGCTTGAGAAATCATCAAAACCAGGGAATATCATATTCATTCCATAATCCGACCCGTAATTACCCGAACCGCTTGCCAAGAGATCCAGAAACGACCCATCCATGGCCAGCTCACTGTCCAACTGTACCGTCCCGTCCGAAACCGACGGCGTTGGAGATTCCGTTTGAAACCCGGAGTTGGATTCCTCCGGTTGGACGACCCTCGGAGGCTCCGATTTCGCAAAACGGGCTGCGGCGGCTTGGATTTGGGTCCGCGTCAAAGACCTACCGCCGGCGATCTCGGGCGGAGCATCGGGGAAATTGAACTTCGCCGATTGGCCGCGTAAACAAAAAAGAGCGGCGTCGAAAGCACGGGCTGCTTTCTCGGCGGAGTCATAAGATCCCAACCAAATCCTTTCCCTGCTGTTTGGCAGTCTGATCTCCGATACCCACTTCCCCCATTTCCGCTTGCGAACACCCTTGAACTTTAAATCTCTTCTCTCCGCCGCAGGCTTTTCGCTTATGTGTTTCACCATTGCTGATCAGGGTTCTATGAGAGTGGCGTTTGAGTGTTTTTTTTTTTAATTATATAAATTTGATTATTGTAGTTGTTTTGAGACTGAGAAATGAAGGTGAACTTGCGGCTTATATATAGCATGCAAGGGAAGCCATGGTTTCTGACTCAAACTGAGCGGTCAAAGGCAGAGAGACGCGTTGGCTTTAAGCGTTTGGAAACCGCAAAGAGCTTAGCGATGTCGTCTTTACGCGGGGAGTTTGTCCCAGGTGATCCGTTCACCACGTGGCACTTTTATTATATACGTGCTTAAATTCCACATCTAGAACTACTGGTACAATTTTGTTTAGGTAGGGTAAACTACGCACTTAGTATTTAAACATGTATTTTTGATCTGTTTTAGTATCTAAATTTTTAAGGTTTTTAAAATCATATCTAATGCTTAGTTTTTGTTTCATTTTAATATCCAACTGTTGAAAACTTAACACGTTTAGTATCTAAACTATCATTTTTGATTCGTTTTAGTACCTACAATTTCAATTTCTTTTACAACTTAACATTAAATTTTGAACAGAGGTACTAACATGAAACAAAAATTAAATTTTAGGTATGATTTTGAAAAGCTTAAAATTTTATGTATTAAAACGGACCAAAATTGATAGTTTAGATACTAAACACGTAATTGACCCCTTTTAAATATTAATTAATAGGTAAACTATTTGTTTAATACCTAAATTATTAGTTTTGGTGTGTTTTAGTACCTAAACTTTTATTTTTTCAAAACCATGCTTGATATTTAATTTTTGTTTCATTTTAGTACACCGTTGTTAAAAACTTAACAGATGAGATGATGTAGCATAGCTCTGGTGGACAAACGACTAATTCGAATGGTAGACCACAAGAGAATAACGGGTCAACCAACATAGACTAGTTTTAGGCTCATCGAATGATAGACAATGAAGATCGGAGGATGGACAATGAAGATCGGAGGATGAAGAAATCGAAGAGTCCATCATCGATCTGGGAAGATTGAAGTGTTTTCCGGTGAAATGGAGACCAAAATTGCGTTCAAGGGTCGAAAAGTTTGGGCTCCATCTACCGACGGATGCAATGATCGGTGATTGTAGATGCAACGACCAGTGAGCTCGTCTGTTAAGTTTTTAACGACGGAATACTAAAATGAAACAAAAACTAAATGTTAAATATGATTTTAAGAAATGCAAGTTTAGATATTAAAATAGACTAAAACTGATAGTTCAAGTACTAAATCACAATTGTCATTAATTAATTTAGTAGAGGAAAAGTATAAAGCAATGAATAGTTTATTGACATTCCTAAAACCTTATAAACATGTTGCTGCACCACTTAACACCACATGCATGCACTGGTCTCCTGACACACCCAGTAAATTAATTTTATATACCACAACTTGGATGGATTTTGTAATTTTAAATAAAAATGGAATAATAACTTCAAAAAATATATTATTTTAAAAAAATAAGAACACGTGTATACATTTATTTTTATTTTTATAATTAAAGTTGCATTCCGTTCCCTGTAAGATGAAAACATTATACTTGAACCCCTTTAATAATTAAAAAGTTAAATTACACAAATCATCACTGAATTTTATTGTATATCTTATTTTACTCACTGTACTTTAAATTCGTTTAATTTCCTCATTGAATTTAACACAATTAGTATTTTTGATCACTCAGTCGTTTTTTCACTAAACGGCGTTATGCATGAACTGTTATATGGATGCAAAATGACGTCGTTTTGGTGAAAATTTTATTTTTTAAAGCAACATTGTTTTAACGCCGTTAAATATTTAAAGATTGAGTGAAAAAAAATATTAATTGTATTAAATTCAGTAAAAAAAGTTGAACAAATTTAAATTACAGTGAGTGAAGACGATTGTTATAAAATTTACCCTAATTAAAATTAGTATCGTTATCATGGAACGTGAGGGGACAAAGCAGCGTCGTCCGAAGAAACTTGGGGTCTTGGGGTAGAGAATCCAACGGTGGGGATGTCTGCTTTGATGGCACCACGCGCTTATGCTTTACGTCATGCATGATATCCCACGGCCACGAGAGACGAAGTTCAACTTATCATCAGTCAATCTGCTTACCTTCCTTCCTCACATCAATGAACAGAAAAACAGGTCTAACAAATCCACCTACCACTCGTAATTTAAGGTTAAGAAACTATAGTAAACGAATATAATCGAAAATATTATAAAAAAATATAATATTATTGGTTGGATGCAACTTAAAATGTTAATTTTTTTTAATATTTTTCGGTTTTACACAAGCTTCGCAACATTTTCGATCATTGAAAAAGTTAAAATATTAATAATTTATGTTACACTCAACTAAAAATATTATATTTTTATAACGTTTTCGATTATATCTATCTTCTACAATTCTGTACCTTTAAATTAGACTATCACACATCAGAACTTTCCGCTCTATGTACATACGTAAACAAAGTCAACACTAAACATTCACTTCATAAACACAGATAAATAAGTTGTAAAACATATTTAATTATAATTCCGTTACTAATTAAAATCGTTTCAGCGATAGGGGTTGATTTAAGTGGTAAACAAAATTTCTACAAAAAAAATTCACCTATCAAAATTAAGTGTGCGACATGAGTCGGTCCACCGTTCTAGCAAGTCCTTAATTCTACGTAACGAGGATGTTTCCTGCCTTGTAAATTCCGACTGTTTGATGAATGGATTCAACGTTGTTGACAGGCAGACAATGTTTAAAATCCTCGACTTCTTGGAAATTAGTTTGACGTATGACTAAAACATCGATAAAAGACAAAGCAAACTCTCAAAATCTTCCTTATTTGTGTTTGGTCAAATATGTACTAATAAACACAAATGCCCTAGTTCTACAGATCCGATAAATAGGAAAAAATAGGTCGGGTTCGAGTTGGGTCGAATTTTCATCCACTCAATTCTGATTTGAGCATCGTATCCCTCCATTCGACTCGAGTTCAAGGAAGATTTATCCGATCCAAAATTTGAATCAATTTTCCCCCGATAAATTTCGTACCTAATCCGATAAAATATATATATTTTTAGTGTAAAGTACACAAATGGTCCCCAAACTATAGGGTACTACTTTATTAAATCACTCGACTATTAAAAGTTACAAAATGATCCTCTTACTATAAAATGTTGCTTTGTTAAGTCCCTCAACTATTAAAGATTACAAAATGATCACTCGACTATTCATTATGTTCCAAACTATTAGAATGTAGTTTGAGATTTTAGGATTAGATTTTATCATATCCCAGTCAACATGTTAACGTTCACCTCAAAATACATTAATTTTTTAACAAAAAATGACGAGTTTGGAACATAATAAATAGTCAGATGATCATTTTATAACTTTTAATAGTCGAAAGACTCAACAAAACAACACTCTATAGTCGGAGTGTAACACCCCAACCCGTACCCGACCCGGATACGAGTCTGAGATGTCACATTGACTTTTTAAAACAATATTCTTACAAAATAACATAACATTTGGACTTATATTAATAAAATACGATAATATACATTTGAATTATGTTTCATTATAACAAATTTAAAGAAAAACATTTTTATGAATAGTATTATACTGTATGAATAGTACCATGAACAGTAATGAACAGTATCGATGTTAAAAATTTTTCAGAATGCTACAGGGGTATCGATACCCTGCTACAGTATACCGATACCCTGCTACAGTGTACCGATACCCTGCTACAGTAATTTCGACAAACCATATATAAAAACTCATGACAATTTATCTTTCATCAGTATAAAGTTACCGTTTACATATATACGTTTAAAACATTACAAAACTTGTCAGAGTGTATACCATTTAAAACATTAATTACATGCCAACTACTTTCAATATCCAAAATACATATGATTCAAAAATCTTTTTCTGATATGATCTTCGGTAAGAAGCAACTGACCTGTCTTGCTCCACATTGCTCTTTATTCTTCTCGAAACCTACATGTGAAACAATCACACGCTAAGTCTACGACTTAGTGAGGCATATAAACATATAATAAAAACTCTAACTTATAATCATGCATGAACAATTACTACTATCATATCATACACCAGCATATTTCTATTCATATATCAAATCCACACATGTACATATATGATTATCTTATTTCTTATCATTATTCTATTATTATCATTAATACCTTTTATCGTATAATCATATACTTATCATTTATACACATCATACATCATTTCATAAACAAATACACATAACATCATATAATTCATGTAATACAGTTCATATAACTAAAAGCATATGCATAACATTCATTGTATTCATTGTTATCTCTTTATTAGCCCATAGTACACTTGTGATAACTAAAGATATGTGAGTACATAGAGGTTGTGCACATATATTGTCACCACAGCTCTTATGGGGTCCCACTAGGGGCATGTGAAATTTGTCCCGAAGGACCTATGTATTTGTCCCGAAAGACCTTTGTATATGTCCCGAAGGACCGCGTAGACCCTCGACTCTTGGTATGCCAACTATACCCCTAGCTCTCATATCACATAACATGGGCATTATCATTTATAACAGTTCACATATTCACATCACTTATTCATATCATTTATCTTATAAACAAATATCTCTTCTTTTCTATCACGTATCACAAGTACGTGTAATCATTGATCTTATAATCACATGTTCCTTCTCTTCTGTCACATACCACATGTATGTGTAAACATATACCTCATATCATATAACATATATCGTATAGGCTCATATCATGTAACATATATCACATGTGCATATAATCACATAGATCGTATCATATAACTTATATCATTTCTCATGGGTTCATGTAAAACATGTATATCATATCTTATTCACATATATATTCATATATATATATATATATATATATATATATATATATATCACATAACACATAAAATAACATATAAACTTATACATGTATTCATGTACATACTTTCATATAGTTTGTATATCAATGTTATATAATTTATCTCATAGCTTTACATAGCTTATCACATAGGCATGTAT